TTCCCAAGGTTCCTGCAAGGTTCCTGCAAGGTTCCTGCAAGGTTCCCACAACTTTGTCCCACAAGGTTCCCACAACTTTGTTCCAGAAGGTTCCCCCCAAGGTTCCCACAGCTTTGCTCCAACGTTCCTACGAGGTTCCCACAATTTTGTTCCACAAGGTTCCCACAACTTTGGTCCACAAGGTTCCCACAACTTTGCCCCACAAGGTTCCCCCAAGGTTCGCAAGGTTCTCGCAGCTTTGCTCCAAGGTTCCCACAAGGTTCCCACAACTTTGTTCCACAACGTTCCCACAACTTTGCCCCACAAAGTTCCCACAAGGTTCCCCCAAGGTTCCCAAGGTTCCCACAAGTTTGCTCCAAGGGTCCCACAGCTTTGCTCCAAGGTTGCCCCAAGGTTCCCACAGCTTTGCTCCAATGTTCCCACAAGCTTCCCACAACTTTGCTGCAAGGTTCCCACAAGGGACCAAAGGTTCCCACAGCTTTGCTCCAAGGTTGCCCCATGTTTCCACAGCTTTGCTCCAAGGTTCCCACAAGGTTGCCACAACTTTGCCCTACAAGGTTCGTTCCCACAGCTTTGCTCCAAGGTTCCCACAAGGTTTCCACAACTTTGCCCCTCAAGGTTCTTCCCAGGTTCCACAAGGGACCAAAGGTCCCCGCAACCTTGCTCCAAGGTTGCCCCAAGGTTCCCACAGCTTTGCTCCAAGGTTCCGACAAGGTTCCCACAACTTTGCTGCAAGGTTCCCAGAAGCTTGCCACAACTTTGTCCACTTTGCTTCAAGGTTCCTACAAGGTTCCCACGACTTTTTTGCAAGGTAAGGTTCCCACAACTTTGCCCCACAAGGTTCTTCCAAGGCTCCCACAGCTTTGCTCCAAGGTCAATGTTCCCACAAGCTTCCCACAACTTTGCTGCAAGGTTCCCAGAAGCTCCCCACAACTTTGCCCACTTTGATTCAAGGTTCCCACAAGGGACCAAAGGTTCCCACAGCTTTGCTCCAAGGTTGCCCCAAGGTTCCCACAGCTTTGCTCCAAGGTTCCCACAACTTTG